TGTGTTAGCTGGCAGAGTGTGTGGGGAGTTGTGTTATCTGGCAGAGTGTGTGGGGAGGTGTATTCTGACACAGGTGCTCCTTTTAGGTCACGGTGCGCCGTTAACTGTGCCGTTACCAGACAGGAAGCAGCTTGCGGTAGCTTTCGTTGTTTTTCCTTTTTGTCTTTTCTCAGCTGTCTTCTTTCCTAAAGTTTTTGAGCGAGGATGGATCACATACTGTACGATAGGGGCACCTTGTCAGTAATGATGACCAGAGCAGAGACTGGTTGACTAACCTCTCTCACGCGTGTGTGTGACCAGGGCTCAATTCGTGTTTTTGGGAGGTCGGCAAACTTTTTTGTGATTTTAGTACTGTGTGTGCAGAGGTTTCTGGTGTTTGTACAAGCACCTGTGAGTGCGTGCTGGGCTGATTTCCACAGAGACAGTGTTTGCACCTGATGGGCCTTAAAAGGCTTAGGGGAAGCGCAGGAGCCAATCAGAGGCCTTCCTGAGGGGACTTCTTCTCGAGCTGTGAGGTCAAGATGGAGCACATGTCCCTTGAGTGGACAGCCTTGAGCCTTGCAGTGGTGGAAGCGCTGCTCAGGTCAAGAGACCGGTCACTACTGGCAGGTCCACGGGATACGCAGAAGTTGGGGTGGCTGGCTTCCGAAGAGGAGGAGAGCTTGTTCTCAGATGTAAACACGCCCCTGGCGATTGACACGTTGACGTCTCAGGAAACCGACGTGCCGCAGAGACTTCCGACAGCGCGACAGCTCCCCTGACTGACAGCTCTCGACTCAGGCGAGGGCAGCCCGATCCTCTTGGCCGGCTCGAGAGAAAGAAGGCGTCCCGTGGCAGAGACAGGTAAAGGCACTCCACATTTCCTATGAGTTGACTCTCTGCTCCTATGGAGTCATGCACCTCACTTCCTACAGACACTTTCCCAGGTCTTTGTTTTACAGTTGAAAGGCTGGAGTCTGTTCTCTCTGTGTGAAGTTGGGAAGTCTGGCGTGTTTAAAACGGCCAGTTTTGTTGAAGATGTAGATCAACTGAGGACATCTTGTTTGTCAAGTGTTTGAAATTCACCACCAATTCTTCGTTGTTATTATTAATAATGATATTATTAGGGCAGCACGTTCTGGGGTTGAACATTCTTAAGTTAAAAACAAAACCTTGCCAGTTTTGTTCAGTTTATTCTGAAAGATGAAGAGGCACTTTCACGTTTATTTCAGGAGCAGAAACAGTTATTTTGTCAACTTCTATGGAATTAAGTTGCGCTCTTAGAACAATACGCCACTAAGCAGGTGAATTGGGAGACCTCTTAATGTAATAGGTTTAACAAGAAGAAAAAATGTCAAAAGAAAAACCCTGAATCAAGCCCTTAATTGAAGAGCCTGGTTTTGAGAGGGAAGTACTGTGAGTGCGAAAAAGTGACTGATGATTCACAGACAGGACCCAGTTAATCAGAATTTCACCGTGTCTGGGGTTTGGATCTCTGTCTTATCGCGTCACGTTTATTGTGGACTTGATGCACCATCGAAATGTTCGGGTTTCGAAAGGTTTCGCCCGGTTTCCTTGCTGGCAATGACAAAACTGACGAGCTGAAGGTCCGGGCTGTGCCGTGTCGAGGCGAGGGACGCGCACTGAAATGGAGGACGGCGACGAAAATGGCCGCCGCCGTCACTCTCGCGCTCTCTCCGGGTGTCGTGCCCGCTGCCCTGCTGCGGGGTGTCCGGTCCCAACGGGACACGAATGGACACCCCCAGACTCGCCGCAAGGAACCGGCGTCCCTAACGACGGCAGGGGAGTAGGTCGTGTTCGGACCGGCTGATCAGACTGTGCAGAGGAGGTTTTTAAAAGTCCGCTGGGATCGATGCGAACTGCGACCCTACAGAGAGAAACAGTGACACCTCAGTGCAACTGGCTGGTCTGATACAGTCCCGCTGTTCAGGATCTTCACACGGGAAAGAAATGACTGAAAAACACCGTAGTAGACCAGCAGAATATTCGCTAACAACTGTATGAGTTAGATACTGCGTCCAAGATCTTTTGAGGACAGTATTTTCACAAACGCTGAAAAACAGAAATAAAAAGTAAAATGGTATTGTAAATTGCTACCAATTACATTGCCAGAAGGAAACAAGATACATTTACAGATATTGTAGGCACTCTGAGCTGAAATTAGATTATTTCCGGTTATTCGTTTAAAAATAAACTGCATCTCTAAGAACTAAGAACTAAATTCACTGAGCGAGCGAGAACTTGCTTATCTTAGTGGGAGGCAGCCAAGCCAGTTAAATGCAGACAAATATTACCTGCAGCTTTATCAATAAAAATGACATCGACAAAACCATCGCTAAGAAATCAGTTCGGTGTGGCAAACTAGTTTTATCTTGACAGATGGGTTTTAGAATCGGATACGTCTGCAGCTCCCTGAAAATATAAAACTATATTCGTGCGCCACTCTGTTCTGCCACAGGTTTAATTGGCAGTAAATGGAGGGTTATTATAGCCGGTACTATTGTGTAGATACATTGAAGGCATCCAATCAATCGATTTTCTAACTACTGCCTAATTCAGGGTGGCAGGGGAGGTGGAGCTTATCCCAGCAAGCAACAAAACCACAAGGCAGGGTACGCTCTGGACGGGACACCAGGCCATCACAGGACACACACAGACACAAACACACCAGGACCGATTTTCCCAGAAACTGAATAACCCACCATTTTGGGCATTTTGTCCTGATTTGTGCAGGAACATTCCTACACATTTTTCTGTACGTTTGCAACTATACATATAAACATCTACTCAGAATGCATGCAAAGAGCACCTTTCTTCATGGGAAGCTGTGCATCTGTTACATAAACACACACCTACGTACTGTACATTTGAAAGGAGAAGATTTCCTGCATTGCGGTTCCTGCAGGTACTACTTAAAGATTTTGGATGTTACTGATCAGTGCAGTGTTCAGTGGTGCTGTTCTCTCAAATAAGAAAACATACAAAAACATATCCATCCATTTTCGAACCACTTTACCCAGTACAGGGTCGCGGAGGAGCCAGAGTATATCCCAATGTGCAATGAGCACAAGGCAGGATACACCCTGGGTGGGATGCCAGTCCATCATAGGGCATACACAGACACAAACACACACACTCACGCCAGGGCCAATTTCCCCAGAAGCCAATTAACCCACAGGCATGTCTCTGGACAGTTGGAGCAAACCGGAGCACCTGGAGAAAACCCATGTAAACATGGGGAGACCATGCAAACTCCACACAGACAGCACCCCAGGAAATAAACCCAGAGCCCCAGGGCTGTGAGGCAACAATAATACCCCTGTGTCACCGTAGTGCCTAAGCTAAACCTTATTTTGACTTAAAAAAATTCTCAATACACTTGAAACAGGATTTCAAGGTCTTACACGGAGATAGATTTCAGAGAAATGAACCTGATCACTGCTAGGTAATGTGAAATAGGTAAACTGACTTTGAATTGGAAGTATTTTAATTACAAGTTATTTTTTGTTTGATGCCTTTGTCCAAAGCACTATACTGTACATTTGCACCCAGGTCTACAGCCAGGTGTTTTACTGAAGCAGTTTAGGTGAAGCCCCTTACTCAGGCATCTAAGAGCTGTGTCACACCTGGGATTTGAACCCGCAACCTTCCAGTTACAAGTTACACATCCAGAACTCAAGCCACTGCTCCGCAGCAGTGAAGACCACAGGAGATTATAGGCAGCAGAGCCCGACTGTGACGTTTATGAGCTTAAACCTCTTAGTACTGAAGTAGAGAAGTAAGTAAAGAAGTGATAAGAAACTGTCCGGCAATCTCTGCAGTTCCAGGAGCTCTGATGAAAACGACAGACAGAAGTGGTTGGTTATTTGCCTCCAGAGCTTGTACAGCAGTTCACCTCTGTCACAGCGCTGACGTGTCCTTTGAATCGAAATTCCAGCTCTGAAGGAGACCGAGGCACAGGAGAAGGACAGACCGAACAATGGACGGCAGAAATCTCTTCATCGCGGCTGCCATCGCTCTGGTGCTGCTCACTGGTGAGAGTCCTTGTCTTGACCCTGGCCTGCCGTTCTCCTGTGTTTCACTGTTCATGTCAGGCAGCCGAAACATGTAGAGTGGTTTTTGCCTAATCTTTGAAAATCGAGCACAATAGTCTAGTAGCCCTCTTCAGAAGCACTATCTCGTTTAAACACAATATTATCCCGTTTAAATGCAATAATTATCTTGTATAAAAGCAATTTTATCTGGTTTAAACAAAATAAATATTTTTTTTCTCTGTGGTGCTCATAGGCTTCCTGTTACTATACAGGAGGAATATTATTATATTATAATCTAAATTAGTGTGTCTTGGGGCTGAAAAAACTCTTGCAGAAATGGACCAATTTAAATACAATTAATGCTGTATTTCTGCATATTTTCAATAAAAATGCGTACTGTTTTGTAAGGCCTTTAAGCTTTAATTTAGAAATTCACAATGCTAGCGCTGTTTTGTCGGAGGGACAATTTTTAATGTACAGACTTGGGAACAGCGACTGTCAGTCGGGTCAGATTATTGCTCTTTGTGCAATTTCTTGAAGTTTGGAATTGCTGTTTTGTTTTTCAGAGTTAAGAAAGAAAAAGGGGAAAACGGGACCCTGACATTCAGATTGCTAATTCTAATTCTAGCAATTGATTACTTACGGTTACTGCTGCCCGGGTTCGATCACTAATTCTTTCTTTTCTTTCGTAGGATTGGTGAGCAGTCAAGGTGCGTATATCTTTTCCCCAATTCATGTATGTAAAATTACTAATCCTCAGGCACAAGACCAATGGTGAAATTCACTAAGAACTCAGAATTTTCTTTAATAATAAGCATTAAGAACTCACAGTTTTCATCATTAATAATAATAATTTAGAAACTGAGAATTTTCAAGGTGATTCAGAGGGTTTTGTTCACCGTGGCCTGAACATCACACATCACAAGTTAAACAGAAGAAAAAAATAGAGAGCCCTTAAAGATTGTTAAATGAAGATTTCGAGAGAATTCCTCTACCTGCTTCATTACTTTTTGGGCGCTGTACGCGGTCACCAGTCGAGAGAGAGTCTTCACTACCCCTGGGGAGGGGGGACAAGTTGTTTTACAGCAGCAGTGTTGCTGTACAGACGGACAGAAGGAAAAAAAAAGACAGGAAAAACAACATACAGACATGTTTGCATAGAAGGTCAAGTGTTAAGTAAGGATGTGACTACAGGTATGAATGAGAACGTGAATCTGTTAGTTTTGGAGCTGGAGAGTCGGTATCTGTGTTCTGATGGGACTGGAAATTATTAAACAGGGGGGTGTGAGGGATCATCGCAGATGGATGTTGCTTTACGCAAAACACATGAATGATAGATAGAGGAGAGGGCTGGGAGATCAGCCCCAGTGACCCTCCTGACATGTTTCCACAAGGCTGCCCAGTTTATTCTTGCCTCTCGGGTTCAGGTGACCAAACCAGCCGATCAGGGTAATAAAAGGTGGAACAGATTCAAGGTAGAACAAAATCAACAATGAATCATCCTTAAAAAAAAAAAGTTTTTTTTTTTGGAAGATTGGGTCAGTAATCGGCTTTCGAAATTGAGCTCGGAGTCCACAAGAGCACTTGTGTCCTTCTACCAGCCCTGCTGATGGTGGGGGTGGGAGTTGGGAAGTGTGAAGAAGGTAAAGCAGATGGAGACACTTCGGTCACAGCCTGCTGAATGGACGCTGCTCAGGACGTTAGCTCGTTACCAGTAATTAGCTGATAGGGTGCCTACTGCGCAACCACAGTGGAAGGAGACCGTAAGAACCTTGTTCTTTTACTTGGGAGAGCGCTCATCTGTGACTCCCAGAAGCCCTTGCTTTAGAAATACTTGTTTTCGCCAGTGCTTGAGAAGTTATTGGATGGCAACAGTGGTGATCATCACCGCCCCGCAGGCCCGGGCTTCCGGGTTCAGTGCCTGGGGGTTCTGTCTGGTACCCTGCCCTGTGCCTGTTGCTTGATGGGATAGATTCTGCCTCCTCTGTGGCCCTGCATCAAACGGTTAAATATTTGGAGGGATGAAAGGTTATTGCTCTCGTTAATCCTGGCAGCTTGGCGATTGTAGGATAGATCTACAGTACTCAGTCGAGGCGCAAGATCATCGCGCTGCAGTTCCTCAAACATGCATTGAAGGCGAAAAGTTAAAACTCTCTGTAAAAATGTCAGTTTTTACATCTGTTATTCTATAACTATTTTACAATACAGTTAATGCAGCCAGAGAGCTGCTGTAAATTGTGGAGGAGAGCTAAATTTGGACACCTGACTCTTGACCCTGTTGTTTTTATAATGTTAGAAATATTGTTGTTGGGTTTTTTTTTTCAAATAACGAGATTCCATTGACTAAATGAGTCACCAACAGTTTCGCAGATTGAGTGCCCTCCGGATTTATTTACACCTCCCCGATGAAACAAGAACAAAAAACAACTTCAGATCCTGTGGCAGACTGAGCTGCAGGCCGAACGACGCGTCTCCCCTGAGACGTCAGTAATGATCTTCTGTAATCATTCTCGCGCTGCGCAGAGCAGTGTTAGAAACAATTACCTGAAATTCAGATTGTAATACTATGTTTTATAATACATTTCAAACAATAGATTTAGATTTGCCACATACAACACATTTGATGCAGCCTCCCAGTTAAAAAAAATAGCACAATTATCACCATGGGGTGGGCGTCCTTCATAGCACCCTCACTTTAAGATCATTCGACGTCCGTTTTCCCTTCCCTTTCACCGAGGGAAGAGTTCTCCAGGCGTTGGAATGTTCCCCCCGCGCACAGGGAGCGGGATTTGGGATAAGGCCGTCGTTGGAGAGTGACGATGCGTTGTTACAGTCACCCTCCTGCTCAGTACGAGAGGGGGCCGCGGGTCCAGACAGCGGGCATTTGGGTTTGTCTGCGGAGGCAGTTTTGCGAAGCTGCCATCAGTGGGATCATGAGTGAACGCCTCTGTCTGTGGGATTATGACTGAACGCATCTGTCTGTGCGAATATGACTGAAGTTCTCTGTCTGTAGGACTATGACTGAAATTCTCTATCCGTGGGATTTTGTCTGAACACCTCTATCTGTGTCTTATAACTGAACACCTGTATCTCTGGGATTATGACTGAATGCCTCTGTCTGTGGGTTTATAACTGAACACCTCTATCTGTGTCTTATAACCGAACACCTCTAGCTGTGGGGTTATGACTGAACACCTCTCTTGTGGGGTTGTGACTGGTCTCCTCCGACTCGAAAGGTGAATTCTGCTTCCCAAAGGGAGGGCAGTCGAGGGCAGAGGGCTGGGAAAGGTGTGACGAAGGCAGGGTTAAAGAGGGACACAAGGAGACGTCAGCACAGGGACCGATGTGTTGAGAGGTCTGGGCTACAGCTAACCCCTCTGATTCTGACAGCTACCAAGGAGACGATCACAGTCAAAGATGAGGAAGACAAAATTGTCTTCACCTGTGAAGGAGGGAAATGGATTGATGCTTCTGACAATGAACGTCTGGAACTGGAGTACCAGAATAAAAAGACTGGTTATTACACATGCGATTCTGAAAATAACGCAACACTTTACGTGAAATTCCGGAGTGAGTACAACTTTCTTTGCTCCTCTTTGTCATGCTAGTGATGTGCATACAGGTCAATGTACAGTATTCGTTCATCTGTGACCTCTTCCCTTGGTCCGATACCTTACCGTGGGCTGAACTCTGACCTCTGTGTGTGTCTGCTTGATGTGAATACAGCAATGGCACACTATAGTCAAAGGGGAACTGCCCTCCCAATTTCTCAGACCGGTTTTTAAATCTGGCTAACGTAATAAATTCATTGACGTTGCCGAAACCCTGGATAAATTCTGAAGTAAGCACAAAATGGTGAACTCAGATTTGCAATGTGAGGCGGCCCTTCCTGCTCACTAGTCACTGTCCTGACTAGTGTGGCGTGATGGACGAGTGAAGAAGTACTAGTTGTGCAGCAGACATTTCACCACAGAAATGTTCCAACAGTTCTATTGGATTAAAAGTGATGTTTTCACAATCCTGCTTTTTTACAGTGCTACAGGGCCAGTTCACCTCTCCGTTTTTTTTGGTGCTGTTTATACCTGGAAATTCCATCTACTTTGTGATGGTTTACAAGCTCCTGTGCACATTTTACTTTTAGTGCGGTTTGAAATGCACTCATCGATGCTGATGCTTTCTAACCCCGGAATATAAAAATAGCAGTGCAGCTCCCCTTTCAGTGCTGTGCGTTTGGTGTAGCTGTGTGTTGGTGTGTTGTTCATATGTGACTTGTCCCCACGGTTCAGCTGTATTACTGTTAATATGGCAATGGCGCTCTGTGGTTCAGCATTTGCTGTAGGTGTGTGTGCTTCCTGTGTTCTTGTGTAGCCTGAACTGTAATGTATTTGCTACCACATTTACCGTATTCAGTACCCCCTATCTTCTGTCTCCGCTCCTTGTGTATTTTCATTGTGCGTGTCTTGTGTAATTTTTTATTGTTGTTGTCATTCTGTAAAGCTCTTTGAGAAGCCACCTTTAAAGGCGCTATATAAAGTAAACCTGAATATTTCTACTACTGCGATAATCACCTCTGCTTGCTCCGAAGCTGCAGCAGCTTCAGTGTGTGAATCGGTGCTCATGGGTGCTGTGTCTGCCTGTCCCTAGCCTGTGACAACTGTATCCAAGCGGATGCCAGCACTATAGCAGGGATTGTGGTCGGTGATTTGGTGGCCACACTGCTGATCGGGGTGGCTGTGTACTGTGTCTCCTCTCAGCCCAAAGGAAGGAGCTACAGCAACAACAAAGGTAACATATTCTTTCTGTTTCATTAGGAATTATTCCCTTTTGCATTTGCATTGGACACAGAAATTTCAGCCAGAGGCAATATGGTAGCTATCTTTCTTGCGGCGAAAACCAGATAGATTCACACTAGAATGGACTGACCAACAGGCTAAATGATTAGCAGTTTTTTTTTTTTACTGACTCACCAATACAAAGAGCGACCGAGAAACTGGCACAGACAGACTTAGTGACTCAGGGCGGAGTGGATCTGTGGCTGAGGATCTGCGCCTGTGGCTGGAAGGTTGCCGGTTTGTATCCCCCGGCTGCAGAGGAATCCTACTCAGTTGGGCCCCTGAGCAAGGCCCTTCACCCCAACTGCTCAAGGGGTGCTGTACAATGGCTGACCCTGCGCTTTGACCCCAAGCTTCTCTCTCCCTGTCTGTGTGTCTCATGGAGAGCAAGCTGGGGTCTGCGAAAAGACAAATTGGTAATGTAAGAAATTGTATAGGGCCAATAAAGTGATCTTATGGACACGTGACTGATTTTCAGACTGACAGGTCACTGGATAGGATCTCTGAGCTGGTACAGCGCTGCGCTAAGTATAGGAAAGTACAGGTCAGTTCCCTGCCCCCCTTAACTCCCAATCCTGCCTGCCGGTGAGCCTTGGTCTTGTTCTTCACTCTGCAGCAGCTGATAATGTTGGTTCTTTTATCTGTCCAAACAATGGGATCTAAATGCATGAAGAATGCACTTACCAGGTAAGCAGTGGTCTTTGGACAGGAGACTGAATTGAAGTGCAGATTCTGCAGCTGAGCGGGTTTGCAGCAGGCAGACGAAAGAGAACGAGAAGCAGGCGGTCCAGAGCACGGATTATAGTGGAATGGCAGGGGTCGGAGCACAAGGGAGACTCCGAAGGCGGATCAAGTAACGAGCGGGATTCCAATCACAGATGTTAGCTGAAAGCCAGGCGAAGCAGGCAGAGTCAGTACATGGAGAAGGCAGACCAGACACAATGGTTATCCAGAGGTGAGCTCAAGGCCAAGGGAGGACATCTGAGCAAGCCTGAAACAAGGACACGCTGCGACATGAGGCACGAAACTCGCGGACTGAGCAGGGAGCACTGTCATCCCTGGTCTTAGATATGTGCTGGTGAACAATGTAAGTGATGGTTAGGTGCGCGCAGGTGGAATTGCTCTTCCACTGATCTAGTGGTCATGGTAATTGACTCGTTAACAGACTGAGTGGAGGCTTATCTAATAGCAGCTGTGCTTTGGGTGCGCTAACCAGCGTTGCCGAGTCAGCAGGTATGGCCACCCATAAATACAATACAGCCATTTCAATGGGGACTTCAGAATCCAAGCTGTCTAGTATGAGTGTGAACCTGGACACTGTAACAGCTCTTTCCTTCTCCCCCACCAGCCTCTGACAGGGTGAACCTTCTCCAGGGTGACGGGCTCTACCAGGTAATTCCATTCATTTTGCAAGCTTTTTGGCACGGCTATGTGTTTATACTTCTCTGGCTCTCTGGTGTGCTTTCCTGCTTGTATCTTAGACATGTCCCATTACAAAAATCTGTCCTCCATTATCAAATACTATTTTAGGCCTGTTGCATGTTTGCCCTGTTAAATCTAAGTGACTGTTGCACAAAGCAAAGCTCCATGAGCACCTATGTGCTCCAACCCGCAAATAACATTTGCCCAGTCAAAATACTGTGGTCCTACTGGAAGGAAATGGGGAAGTATTTGAGGAATATTATTGCTTGTTCTGGAATAATTTCAGCTAAATACTGACAAAATACTGGCCATTTCTCTCATTTTAAAAGTCACTAATTGGAGTATTCAATTTGAAGTGAAATGCCCCATTTTGGCTTCAACTTTCTTAACTTTATTATCCAAGCACTTGCTAGGATAGGCTCTGCCTGCCCCCCGGACCCTGCGCTGGATAAGGCAGTTAAGGACTTCTTGGCACCAAAATGGTGCACCTGAGTTTGTCGCCTCACAAGTCTCAGGCTGGTGAACTCTGCCCTCTTCTCCTCCTCTCAGCCTCTGACGGGGAACCAGGACTCGAACTACAGCCAGCTGGAACGGAGGCCTCGCAGGAAGTAGGGGCCCGCCGGGCTGGTTCTCGCACGGACACGGGAGAGCACCCAGCGGTGTTCGCGGCATTTCGTCACCTTTTTTTTTTTCCCACCAACAACAGACCACACACGCATCTTAGCATTCAGAATTTCGGATGACCCCTTCCACCGCCGTCCTGACAGCGTGGTCGCCTTCAGGACGCAGCCCAACCCCCCCGATTTTCCCCACCTCCAAGTCCTCGGAGCCGTGGGCTCGGAGTGGACGTGCCATCAGTGCCAGCGCAGTCGTGCAAGCGTGCAAACACCAATGTACAATGTCGGCCTTCGTGAGGATGCCCATTCTGAACTGGGCAGCTTTCTGCTTGTATATATTCACATATATTGCCTTTATACACGGTATATACTGTAGATCCTGTCACTCCAAAGTAACTAGACAGCATGAGATTTTTTTCTATTATCAAGAAAAGGGGTGTTTAGAATAGAGCGCGGAACAGATGTAATGATTTCGGGTATTTTACTTTGTTTTTGAATTTCAAAAGGGAACAAACTGCATGTAACATTCTGAGGAGGCGGGGGGAGTCATAATATTAATTAACAACCATCTGTTGCCAGAGATAAAGAGGTAGTTTCTTCAGAGTCACTCCCAGTCAGGTGACGGAGGTCAGTTTCTATGATTTTATTGCCATACCGGTTTCCTTCTCACAGTGTGATGGAGCCTTTGCATGGAAAAGAAGCACTTCTGTTGATCTGTGTCTTTTGTTTATAATGACACGTAAAAGAAGAGAAAGTGGATCTGTTGTTTGAGCTAGAGTTGAACCTTTTTGTCTTAAATAAAATGTAATATGTGTCTTTAGATCTGTTCGTGCTGTCAGAGAAATTGACTTGCCTACGACATTCGAAAATCGACTCGTGGATTAATCTTGGTCTTTAAAACTATTTTGAGATTCTGAAGTTAATTAGATAACACATATATTAGATATAGATGCTCTGGTATCATCTACAGTATATGATCATCTGCAAACTTGACAAGTTTGTTAACTACACCGGAATCATTGCTATCAATTAGGAAGAGCAGTGATCCGCATTAAGGCTCCAGAGGGATTCCACTCATTATATCTCCCAAATAGAGCAGTTTGTTTTCTTTACCGTTGTACTGACTGCTAACATCAAAATATGTAATGAAGATTACTACAGATGCTACAGTACCTCCTTCAGTCAGAAAGCTAAAATATGATAATCGCTCATCATAATTTATACTGTAATTATCATTACATGCATTCATCTTGCTATCAGTATAGGAAGAGGCTGTTCTTTGTCTGCACACACTTGAAAGCCTTAGTTCGAGTATTCAATCACTGCTGTGTGTTAATCGTAGTGAGCTGGGGGTTAGTGACCATATCTGCATAACGTATGGAACATTTTGTTAGATATTCTTGGTCCGATCTTGTTTTGGTCTTTACTAAGTGTTAAAATTGCAGTTTGTTTCCCTGTAACTTCCGTTTCAGTTCAGCAACTAATCCATTGAGCCAGATACACAGAGATAGGGGGTGTCTCATCTCATTTCAGGGCTCGACAATGCCAACAACTTCCTGTGTGCCTGGCAGAGCTGCAACAGACTCTCATATTACCATCTGTCTGTTTAACCAGAAAATGTCTGCATATCAAAATAAAATAATAGATATACTGTAGGTCCTGCCCTGGTTAAACACTTGTCTAATGACACTTGATATCGACAAGTACTGTATAGGATGTTGAATGCCATTAGCAAACACATTAACTACAGATATCAAATGGGAAACTCTGAGCTAGAAGAGGCTACTTATGAGAAAGACATACTGTAGGTGTTTATCTTGAGACTTCATTTCCATCTTCTACACAATGTGATGATGCCATAACAAATGCCAGTAATAGTATGATATATGATTACAGTAAAATCAACAGACGTTTGGATGGTGTTCAGATTTTATTCTGCTGCCTCTGCTCTCCTATGTATACATTCTTTCCAGCTGCCCATAACTCTGCATTTATCTTTTCAGGCACCTGACATCTTGTCATAGACAGACAGCTCTCACGCACAGCATTGGCAAGACCTTACCTTTATCGCATTCTCCTCCTGCAAGCCAGGACCAGAGTTGCTTTCTTGCATCTTCTCGAGCAAGTAGCACTGTAAACTCAAATTCTCCATGGAAAACCACCAGCTCTGCTGCTGCCATGCTCTTCTTGCAGTTCTTCTGGTACTGTTAGTCGTCCATGGAACTTCGAGCAAATGTAAGCTTCTGTATCTCCCTGCCCCCTTCTTTCTACTTCTAATAGCATTCTCTCTTCCCTTGCTCTCGTTTTTCTCTATTTTTTGTTGGGCATCCAACCCACTACACCCATGGCACACACCTGCATTTGTCTCTCACCTTTCCTGAATCCTTCTTTTTTCTGTCCCAGTCAGTGATACTCACTCTACCCTGCAGGTGCGAGCACGCTGCATGAGTCTGCACTGTGTCTGGGTCTCCTTGTCCACAGCCCTTGCTGTCCCTGGTACCCGGGCACCAGACATGGTCCTGGGTGCTACGGTGATGAGTTTTTTCCCCTTTAAACCACCCTTGGTTGGTGTCCAACTGGTGCAGAGTCAGCCCTCTACTCTTCCCCTTCCCACAAGCCTCTGTTTGCAGCAGCTTCTTGGCTAATTGCTTGTAAGTTCAGGGATTGATCTTTTAGCAGCTCTGTCTTTTTCTTAGCCTGGTGAGTTCTCACCAAAGTATTAAGTACACTATTCATTTATATTTCTAGGCTTTATATTTGTTTTTATTAGAATTCGATTAAACTATTGAAATAGTGTAAAATTGAAATCAAATGGTGTCATGTTAAAATTGTACAATGCACTAGTAGGACTTCATTTAGAATTGTGTATACAATTTTGATCATAGTAGTACACAAAGATTTAAGTGCATTTGTTAGCCCAGAAAAGAGCGAATAGAAACTAGGAGACTACATGAACTGAATCTCTCTAGTCATGAACAGAGGAGATTATAAGCAGACCTGACTCACATATTCAAAATGCTCAATCAACCCAGTGGATTGAAGCTGATGCTCAGGCTTTTTTAAGAAATAAATCTTGATGAAATATTAAAATCAATTAACTATTAATTACCAAGATGGGCCAAATAGCCTCCTCTCTTCTCTAATCTTTCTTATATGCAATACAAGCAAGCAATAGCAATGGTGCCTGTGTCGCTACAAGAGCTGGGCTGTCAGTCAAGCACCAGACAGTGCTACTTTAACTTGCTACAGTGCTCTGGAGATTAACGCATGTCCTACATCTTCTCAGTGCAGAAGCGAAACTCTGGATGTTTTCCCAAGCTGTTGCTGATGCCTCTGTGACTATGAGAACAGCTGTGTCCCTAGCAGACTAGGGGCAGGTTTAGTACAACTAACGCACACTCACAGGTGATCAGGGGGGTGGTGCTGAACATCTCATCCTGGAGAGGAAGGCAGTGCAGAGGCTGTGCAGGTCTGCTGCTCGTGAGATCTCTTGGCATTTTTGCAGCAATGCGATGCTTTAAACACAAAGTCCAACATTCTCCACCGAACCCAAGTCTGACCTATCTTATGCCATGGTTAGATTTGGATTTGCTGAACTATGTTGGAGTTTCTTTGACCATCTTTGCCATAGCATGCTAAATATGATAAATCGCTGCGAACACATCATCGCCAATGGGTCTTTTTCTAACTGTCTACAGTAGGTATGTCTTATTGGTTGAAGTGAACCAACGAGCTGAAAGTTTTTGCCTTGTAACACAAGATCCCCCAGTGAGACCGCAGTCCCTCGCTTCCCCCCCCTCCCCCCAGCAGGCGACACCAGTACAGTGCTCATCAGGGGAGAAGACGTCGCTGCATATATTTATCACGGCTGTGGATCTCACCTTGTACATTTGCTGCTCTGCCGGCATTTTGGGACTATTTATAGAAAGCGACTATTTGAGAAAAAAAAAAGTTAACAGAGCTAGCTACTGTATCTCCATAAATGGGGTGGTGTTTGCGACTGTTTGGAGAGAGCCGTGGTGTCGTGCGAAATTCTTCGGCGGAGGAGACAGAGACGGCCCGCTGCAGATCCAGCCTGTGGTGAGCTCCATACACAGCAAAGCAGTGTCAGGTCAGACCAGGCAAACTGCTAAAGCCTTCGAACCCTTTTCTAGATTACTAAGAGGTGGGTCTGTTGCTGTTTCAGGCTCAGGTGGTCTTCATCCTCTCCTTCGAAGCGGATCTCTTCTCCTCTTAACAGGTTCGTCAGGAGCAAACCGATTACTGCTGTTTTGACCACTCCAGTTCTTACCAGGCTATTTGTCGACCAACACAGTGGTGCATAGCTAAGCTGACACATCCCAATAATTATCTAACCCATCCCATTCCGTGATTAAGTACCAACACTAATAACTTTAGAACACTGGACGTATGTGCTGATATACAGTTTGTCTCCCCCTTCAGCTGCTTAGGTTAGATGGATGCCTGCTTTGTCAGAGGTCGCGCCACTTGCTCTGCTGTAAGCTGCTTGCTCCTGCAGCAGGAGAGTATCAGCACTGGACAGGCACAGGCCAATGATGCCAGGATGCACGCAAGGCCGCAGCGGTCAGCCTGCAGGAAGGATAACTGTCTCGTCTTCTGGGGGGAGCGCTGAGAGGGCTGCAGCTCACCGTGTTGCTCTTCCGGGAGCGCAGACTCTACAGCAGCTAATGCCTTCTGCTCCGCGAGGCTGACAAACTGCGGTTTCCCAGCAGCCCTGTGAAGTGCACGGAGCTGAGCTCCGAGCCCTGCGCCCACACTGCCTGAAAAACAGCACTGCAAACCACACCACGGCACATACACACACACAAACACACACCCCCACCTTACCCCAGAAATTACACCCTGCTGTGCACACACACACCTTACCCCAGAAATAACAGACACACCGCTGCACGCACACACAAACACACACACACAAGCAGGTGGCGAGCGTTGTTCCCACGCAGGCTGGGGTGCTGAGCCAAACCAAGCTTTGGCAACAGAGCCGATAATAACATTCCGATCACTCAGACGTTTCTGTTTCTGTCCTCTTTGTGCATGAAAGCTGGACGACAAAGTGAAACAACGCAGATGCCACTAGTGTTGATCCTAGTCAGAAAGATACGGTGGACTTTAACAGAACCAGGAGGCAATACAGGCTAATTTCACAAAATCAGGGGTTAACGTGTCAGAGTCTTTCTTGTTGTGAGCACAGAGCGTCTAAGTGCCAGTATCCGAAATCAAAAGGACATACCGGTAAGAAAGGTGATAAACAACAGGAGGCCCCTTTGGCTGCTAGCAGCTAATTGATTCAAAGATCTCCTCCAGTTGAGGGGTCCCCGAGATATTGATTTATAATTGACTTGTTGCAGACACCCACCACCCTTCATGTAAAGAGGAACCTTGTTTTCAGTGCAGAAATACACTCCCTTTTAATTTCCACTGACGGTTGGTTCATGTTTCCCTATCAGTCCTGACCAGTCCAGTATGTACTCTGGCAAATTTTTGGCCAGGATTTTGAGCGTTGCATCGTGAATGTGAGTCTCAGCATCAGCTTTAAGAGCAGGCAGCCCTGCGAAGTGTTGTGAACGGAGTGCGCTGTAACAGTGGTGGAAAATTCTAGAGGGCTTTTCCACATCGCTTTGCAAACAAGAGATAAGAAATACCAGACAAAAACAAATGACTCTTTTGAAGCTGGAAAAAAAATTGCATACGTTTATTAGTATATTTCCAAAACTGAACCCTCATTTTTTTTTTACAATCAGCCTGGCAGACAAACACAAACAAAGCTGACTTTTAGTCTTCAAGACACCAAAGTTTCAGTCGGGACAGGCGTGCTGTTTCCATTGAGAGCTGCCAAGGGGGGTGACTTCACAGAGCAACACGGCCTGTGTCTCAAGAAATGTTTCCATCCTGTACAGGCGCAGCCAGAATCAGTGCTGATCAACAGTTATGGCCCAGAAATCTGCTGCCTTCCACTGACGCAGCTCAAAAATCTGAGAGACTCAACAACAGTTACTGGAACCCTCTGAACCGACAGGCCACTCCGACAACAGAGAAACGACTGGGCTGTCTAGTTGCAGGCGTGCTGACGCAAGTCGCAGATGTGTTGGACTCATTCTTGCCAAATAATAATTTTGCGTAAGAGAAACAGTACTTCCCAGAAAACGACAAACTATTTTGAACTGTGTGGTAAAACTACACGTTCCATCTACCGGCATTTTCAAACTAAAAACGGTGGTTTTGAGGGATGAACCAACAAAAACATCCAAAATGCACATTGGCCATCGAATTTCGCATAAAAATAAACCATAAACAGCTCAACGTCACATGCATGATCATCGTCACAGCCACAGAAATTGAAATGGAAGAAGACTTGTGCGTTATAGCAGATGGAATTTAGAACATTACGGAATTATAGTTGCTTAAATTATTTTATGGACTTTTGTGTCCAGAATTTCACATCAGACAGCAAACCTTTAAGGTGGCCGTTCCGTTACAGGAACAGTGAGATTTCTGCAGAGCCCATCAGTCCGTGAACCATTACAGTCTGCTGTTAGAGACGAGTCCCAGAATGCCCAGCACATCTCGGGACGGCCCCATGCTGTTTAGGAATGTGCTCCGAAATCCCTACTCTGGCCACCAGCACTTCCACGTAAATGAAGTACCAACAAAATGTTTGTGCTGGTTGTGCTGGTACCTTCTAAAAGTCAACTGACCTGTCAAAGTCGGAGGCTGAACAGATCATTCGTGCCGAATTAGAGAACCACTGTGAATCGATATGGAGTACAGTGCCTTGCGAAAGTATTCGGCCCCCTTGAACTTTTCAACCTTTTGCCACATTTCAGGCTTCAAACATAAAGATATAATTTTTTTATTTTATGTGAAGAATCACCAACAAGTGGGACACAATTGTGAAGTGGAACGAAATCTATTGGATTTTTGAAACTTTTTTAAC